GTATTATGCGTTCTTATCATATTACAGTTAGTTCTCTCCTTATCTCACATATATTCAACACAGATTTCTCTCAGATTACAAGATTTCTGTCGATTTTGATTAGCTTTACTTGCTACATTTTGTTACCAACTAACTTCACTTAGGTCACAGGACAGCAGGTTCAATGTAGGTCTCATCTGTTCAGTCGTTCATACCTACCACGCTATCCACATTGAAGTTAATCTGAATCCTCAAAACAAACACATAATGCATATATCAAACAGGCTTCCTAGTCTTTCCTTGCTTAGTGTATAATGAAGCCATACGGAGCCACAATCAGGTAGTGTGAAAGTTCAACCCTAAAATCTCCCATCCCAAATAAAAATAATAACAGAAATGTGAATCTTATAAATGTTTCATGTATGTGCAAATCCACTGCATCATCTTATATTAAATTATTGAGCTTGTGTTCTACGTTTATCAATAAATAATAAATAGGAGGGTATTTACTAGCTGAAGATCACAGATTTTTTCTCTGATGGCGGATACCTTTCTACTGCTGAAAGCTGCTGAACTAAAAGGAAACAGAGTTCTGGTGCTCCTTAATTTTCAGTGGTTTTTGACTGAGTATCCTCCATGACGTGCGTCACTGGCATAGCGGTTAGGACGCTCGCCGACCATACACATGGTCCAGGGTTCGATTCCCGGCCGACTCACTCCTCTACCTTGCCAAGCCAGAAATAATGTTGGTGAAGAGGAAAGGTTGGGCATGAGGCTAGCAACCGTATCCTATAAAATAAACACTGCTACAGAAACTCCAAGCCACTATCTTGAAGCCCTATGTTCCACTGGGGAACGTGAAGGAAAAAATCCTCTGTGACAAAACCCAACAGTTCACACTTTTTTCTCATATAGTACATATGTGTGCATAATGTATGCATTAAAGATGGTGTTAAATTGTTGACTTTATAAAGGAATATTAAAACAACAACCTAATCATTCAACCAAGAACAGATATTAAACTGCTTTAAAGTAAAGTAGAAATCATACGATTCTGTGTGGAAATAGGTCTTACCCAGGTAAGCTGTAAACAAATAACAGTAACAACAAAGATAAGTGAGACATATACCATATGCTGATTTCAAAATAAATTCAACCCTATAGAGGATTTCATCATGAACTGACATCACTTAGAGAACCAATTGAAAACTTTGGAGTACTCATACCTGTTTGATCCTAGTTTGTGACTCTTCAGCAGTACGCACTCATCGGGGTTCGAACCCAGGACATTCTGGTTACAAGGTGAGCTCGTAGACCGTTGAGCCACTGGGACCCGATCCAATGGCCAGCCCATGAATTCTAACTTCTGCTCAATGGTCTACGACCTCGCCTTGTAACCAGAATGTCCTGGGTTCGAACCCCGGCAGGTGCGTACTGCTGAATCGTCCCAAACTAAAACTTAATAGGTGCGAGTACTCCAAGGTTTTCAAGTGGTTCTCTAACTGATGTCAGTTCATGATGAAATCTTCCATCCAATCAAACAAAATCCCTACAAAACCAATACTTGAAAATAAATTTAATTGTATAAATGAAATTTAAAATAGTAGTCGGGAAGACATTCAGTTCTGTTTTGTGACAATATTGTGGAATTTCAGCATTCGTTGATTATATTGTACTGTTTATCTGTCTGTCCTTCACACACTCGACAAACAGTCGTTTGTTTTTCCGTATTGGTTTGGTTTTTAGATATATCATATGATGAAACAGTATTATTTAATTTAGGACGTTTCGAAAACAGTGTATTGTTCATAATCATATCAATTATGATATCATTTGATACTGATATGATTGTGGACAATAAATTGTGTTCGAAACGTCCTCAAGTAAATAATAATACTGTTTCACTGTGTGATATATCTAATAAACAAAACAATAGGGAATTCAGTTATTGTGTGAATATACATCTTGCAAATTTCCTTGTAGGGATAGATACGTGCACTGATAATGATGTCCAATCCTGGATTTGTTCAATGGAAAAAGATATAACAAGGAAATGTATATACTAAGGTGATATCAAATGGAAAAAGAATTATTAAATGAGTAAGGACAGAATTCATACGTAGGTTGCCTGTAAAAACAAAAACACATAGAAACAATAAAAGTGATAAGTGAGATTGACGTCATATTGTTGATTGAAAATGAATCAATCACATCCTCAAAACCAAAGAAAAAATAGTGTAAACACATTACAAGTCTTGGTTTACTTGCACTAGTAGACAGAAATTTCCAAATCAATTCAATCAAAATAACCATTACAGTCTATAAGGATCAGAAGTCTATTTACATTCAAAGTAATCCTACTCCTCCACTACCTAACACTTTTCGTCCGGCGGTCACGTAATTGGCTGCCTTTAAGTTAATTTGAATAAGGAATTTTATTATTATTATTATTGTTCCCTTGGTTTCCTAGTGGAACATAGGGCTTCAACTGCACGTCTCCACTTGCTTCTGTCTTCTGCTGTACTTTTCACCTGCGTCCATGTTAGTCCATACTGTTTCAGCTACTCTTCATACGATCTCCTCCATGTCACTCTTGGACGTCCACTCGCCGCTTCCCTCTCGGCTTCCACTCGGGCAATGGCCTGAAGCGCGATGTCACCCGGCGGCCTTCTCAGCGAGTGTCCGATCCATCTCCACTTTCTCCTGCATATTTGTTGGGTGATTGGTTCTTGTTTTGTTTGTTCTCATAGTTTCTTATTGGTGATTCTTTCTGGCCATCTGATCTTCAGTATAGAACGAAGACAGTTGTTGATAAAGGTGTGCAACAGGCTGTTGGAAATATTGTTTGTGACCCGCCAAGTTTCTGATCCATCCGTATAGAAGGACTGACTGACTTGACGTTTGTATTGAAAATCCGAATCATTTTGTTGTTGATACTGAGTTGAGTGAGGAAGATTTCCACATTGGTTTCAGGTTGATGAATGTGTTTCTCGCCCTCCAGATTCTCGGTTTGACATCCTCGTCCGTTCCTCGTGTAGTTGAGACAATGCTCCCTCCCTAGATAAGTGAATGAAGTAACCTCTTTTAAATCCCTCCCGTTGATGGTGATTGGCGCTGGATGTTGCTCCTTCTGTTGTTGTTGTTGTTGGTTGGTTGGTTATTTTCATAACCTCCGTCTTGTCTATGTTCACCTGGAGTCCTGTCTTCTCTGGCTGCTTCTCCGACCAGTTTGTCGGTTTTCGCTTGTAAGTCTTCGATTTTGTGTGACATGAAACATAAATCATCCACGCGCGAAATCCAGGTCTTCTAGGCTCTTCACGTCGGTGTTCCAGGATATCCCTGTCTCCTCGTTTCCCACTGTCTGACGCATAATCCAGTCCACGACAATTAGGAATATCATTGGTGATAATAAGCACCCTTGTCTGACTCCTGTGTTTACTCCAAATGCCTCACTGAGTTTTCCGTTGGAATGATTACTGATAAAGTAATCAAGATCAGTTGCATGAAAATTAGGGAATCAAGAGGAATTCTGAAAAAACTGATGAGATATTTAAGAGATAGATATTTGTGATAACTGACATTTTCTATTGTCGTAGTATGTGTAAATGTTCACACTGTTGTTCTTTGTTTCTACACTTATTTTAAATGCTTAACAGGAACAAATCCTGGGTAATATGAAATTCTGACTTCTTCCATCTCCATTTTATGGTTTAGTTGGTATGCTATTCGGGCATTGGTGAATTGGATTTACCAGAAAATTCTGTCAGTGAGAATGATTCGAATTTTGTAAACTATGAGAGTTAATTAGTTTGCTATGTGGAGGTGTACAAATTCATTTTAGATCATTTCTGTGGTCCTCGAGGATGATGATTGACTGATTACATTAAGACATAGAATAACATAGCACAGTACAAAACAATTTCCAATTCTCTGAGCTGGTTGGTTTAGTTGCGAAGCTTTCGTCGTCCTTCTGGACAACATCTTCAGAGAACACTTACAATTGCAAATCATCCACCTGAGCTACAAATTTTCTCTATTATAAAACAACTTCATTTTGCTTAACAACATTTAGCACACTAACGTGAAGAAAAAACGAGATGAGAAGAATTCAAAGTTTGTAAAATCTACATGAATGTGCAGGAAGATGTATGGTAACTTTGAAGTAGATGAGTGTGTATTGGTATGGATGTTCGCAAAGAAGGGAATGCACACACATCAGCAAGATTGATTGATTTTGAGCAGTATCACTAACGGCCTCCTGTTATTTGTTCTTAGCATCTCAAGGACTCCAAGCAGTGAGTCTTCAGCATCCCGGTTGTCTTAAATGAATTGTTGAAGATTTCATGGATTGCACCTAGGTTTCAGTTTGATTATTCCTAACTCTTTCTCAAACAAGCGCCATCTGATATTACTCGACAAGAAATTGACTTTCTGCGTATGCACAGCACTTGTTCTAGGCATCTCAATCGACGCAGCTACTCAACTTCACTTTACACCTAACCCCAGCATTAATGACCACATTTTACCACCTAACACTGATGATAGAAAGCAAATATCTATGGTCAAAGGCAATCAGCCTTTTCATATCCTTCTTTTTCAAAGATCATGTATTGCAATCGTGAAGAAGAAAGGAGCAAACTGTTGCGCAATACATAGGCTGCAGAAATGACGTAAATTGACAAAAGCTAACTAAGGCGTAGCTTTTATCGTGGACTGTTTCACTAATCATTAGTCTTTTACAACCTGCTTCCACAGCAATCTTAAATAGTTGTCTTGTGTTACCTATCCCTGATGCCCTTCCCATCTCTTTCGCTTTTGTCGAATACCAGTGTGACTAACTCGCATAAAATCACATTTTCTACATTTCAGATAAGCACAAATACCTGCACTAACCATACTGTTCAATCTCTGACTTGATGAAGGAATGTTTAAGCAACCTAGTTGTTGTCTAACTAGGAACATATATAATAAGGTTAATTGAAGTGAAAAAGAAAGCACATAATTTCATGTGGAAACATATCTTACTCGGGTGGGCTGTAAACAAAAAAGAGTAAGAACAACGATAAGTGAGATTAACGTGTTATGCTCAATTCTAAAATGAATTTCATTGCTAAACTGAATGGAAAGAATTGTGAAAGATGCTCAGTTTTGGTTTGTTTATTTTATCAAGGAAACGGTTTCTTTTTTGTTTGGCTATCATTAGTAGTAAATCTCAGCAGCTTTTGCTGTAGGCGAAATACCTTCCACTTATTTTCCCTTTTCGTATAGGTGGAGACGGCCAAATGTATAATGTGTGTAATAAAACTGTTCGATTAAAAATGTTTGCTCACATTCATCACATTTCCGGAAATATTCTGCTAGTTATAAACTTTACCCAAATGCATCAAAAGATGTAATTGATTTTACGTTATGTTGAATTGATGGGGTTTCCTTCATTCCTTTGTTATATTAAACTGTTTATCGGTTTACCCTACGCATATCAGACAACTAATTGTTACTGACATAAAGTCATATCTTCCTCATTTCAGTTAAACAATTAGGGATACTACCCTAACTGGGGTCCAGGACGTCAAAAAATTGAAAATTTCAAAAACCATTCCAAATGAAAGAGGAATGCGTGAAACGCGTTTTGGTATCTATGACCATGGGGTTTTGAGCTTGTCTAGGCCTTACAGCGCCCTTGCTAAGCTGTCCTACTTAAAACCCCAAAGTCCTAGAGTGAAAACAGCATAAGGTGCGTCGGTGGTATAGTGGTTAGGACGCTCGCCGACCATCCACATGGTCCGGGGTTCAATCCCCGGTCGACGCATTCCTTTACCTTGCTAGGCCAGAAATAATGCTGGTGAAGAGGAAAGGTTGAGCATGAGGCTAGCAACCCCATCCTGTAAAATAAACAATGCTATAGAAACTTCAAGCCACTAGGTTGAAGCCCTAAGTTCCACTGGGGAACGTGAAGGAATTTTTTTATGTGCATGAATCGTGATTGTCACTCTTCTTATTTCTAATGAATCAAAGTTTTGAACAACCTGATCGTTTAACAAGGAAAAAAATATTCTAGTGGCGTCTTGATGTGTGGAAATGAAGCATACGATTGAGCACAAGCAAACAACTTACATCGGTTGTACAACAGCTTCTTCTTTTGATGGAGTAACTGTTGGTATGAAATCTTTGAAGTTCATCAAAGTCATCTTTTGTACGGAAGTTTCGGACAACCGGCGCAATTGATACAATTCCTGTTTCCCTCCATTATATCCTACCAAGCAAACCATGATACCTCCTGTTTTGAGACGCGGCAGCCACTGAGTCAGGCGTAATAAAAGAAGCACAGAATAAAAATAATAATAATTTGGTTATATGGAAATCTGTAGTAACTGATGATAGTTAAGAATGCAAGTCACACGGAGACACAGATTAGATATTGCATAAAGTTATAACACGGGGAAGACAAAACGTTATTTCCTATTCGACGAAGTCATCTTCAGTGGCCATTTAATAATATTTTTATCTACTAAAACCTACAGTATTCTAGTTCTAAACAGTAACCGTCGTAACACAATTGATAGGGTCACTCAGAAGAGGATTCCTCCATTTTGAAGCAATTACATCATATATTCAACGATACAGTGGAGGTAAAGCTTTGGACTTCGTTTACATGAAATATTTAGAAATGAGAAACGAGTTAGCTGAGTGCACATATAACAGATGTGATGATGAGAACGGAAATATGAATGGCAAATTGTGTGAGAGGCACATGCACAGAGGGATAATTGTGAATCACTTACTAAAAATAGAGACATTTTCGCCTCTATTTTTAGAAGAAGTCAAAGAAAACAGGAGGATTAGCGATCGAACAAACATCCTTGTGACAAGGAAATAGGGACTGAGTTGATGGATCGCTAGTCTCATGCAATACAGTAATATTGGCAGCTGACACCTGTTCTCCAGTGCACTCAGCTAACTTGTTTCTCATTTCTAAACATTTCATGCAAACAAATTCCAAAGCTTTACCTCCACTGTATCGTTGAATATATGATGTAATTGCTTCAAAATCGAGGAAACCTCTTCTGAGTGACCATATCAATTGCGTTACGACGGTTACTGTTTGAAAGTGGAATATTGTAGGCTCCAGCAGATACAAATATTGATAAATGTTCATTAATCATGATGACTGCACCGGTAATCAATAATTACTTGTTTAAATTGGGGTGTAATTGCATCGTGAATAAGTAATTTTGGTTGTTTTAATTCGTATGAGCCGAAGTTTAAACTTTTCGACGGAATCTGAGAATTTCAACCGTCATGTGATATGTATCAATGCAGTAAACAGGAATGGATAGAATTGGAACCAAGTTTCCTGCAGGTTATAGCGCCTAACGATGTACTAAATATTAGTAAAATTTGACTCCAGTCTAACGCTGAATACTCACTATATGCTTTATTCACTCTAGTCAGTTCACACTGATTACCTTTCTCTTAAAAAAATGACTGTATATTGTCATCAGACATAAATTATATTAATGTGCAAAATGAATTGACATTGACGCGCTTTTTGATTAATACGTTACACTCTTATTTTTGTGGAATATCTTGCCAAAAAGTTGCAAAAAACTATTGCAATTGTTTGCCTTTGAAACACTGAATCTTTGGATATAATACTGTTGATAGATAATACCTATAACTATCTATTTGCCAGTCTGTGCTTGTTTAACACTTACTAATATCTATAATTGTATATATTGATGGATTTACATGTTCAAGTTGGCTCATGTCAGTGAGTCTATGATTTTGGCATCATTTTGGTTAACTGCACTTGACTGTGATATTATTATTGTTGTTATCGCTTGTTACCCTTCTTGCTGTGAATTATTTTCCTGTGCTGGTATTGTTCTGATTGTTTTATTCCTTGTTTTCCTGGCTTTAAGTGGAGTAATCTACAAGGTCGCTTCTCTCTAAACTATAAGTTAATGTAACAATCCCCTTCTCAGGCGTGAGGCTAGCAACTCCACCCTGTAAACAAAGTCGCCACAGAAACTTCAGCACGATGAATCTCCTTGCGCCAAAAGAAAAAGTCTGTGTGGGGACATAGAATGTCCGCACCATGTACGAGATCGTCAAAGCTGCCCAGATCGCAAACGAAATGAAAAGATACAGAATTCAAGTACTGGGAATATGTGAAAGCAGATGGAACGAAAATGGACTCACCAAATTGTCAACTGGTGAGTCAGGGATTTACTCCGGTCACCCAGAGGATAACCACATGCACACCGAGGGCGTGGTTATCATGATGTCACCAACGGCAAAGAAGGCCCCAGGATAATGACCGCCAGATTCAACTCCAAAGGAAGGAAAATGTCAATTATACAGTGCTATGCGCCCACAAACAACGCAGATCTCGAGAAGAAACAAGAGTTTTACAGACAACTACAGGCAACAATGATTAATACTGCGGTCGGCGACATTAAAATACTCATCGGAGACATGAATGCCAAACTGGGATCAGACAACACAGGAAGGGAACTCATCATGGGTAGAGAAGCTCTCGGAGAAATGAATGAAAACGGAGAACTCTTCGCCGACTTCTGCGCCTTCAATGAACTAGTGATTGGTGGCAGCGTATACAAACACAAGGATATCCACAAGGCTACATGGGTGTCACCAGATAGGTGAACCAAAAACCAGATTTACTTCATCTCAATCTCAAGGAAGTGGATGCGCAGCCTGCTGGACACAAAAGTGAGAAGAGGAGCAGACGTTGGCTCAGACCATTATCTCGTACAAAAGACAATCCAACTCAAGTTAAAAGCTTTCAGAGAATCAGGAGCTGCAGATAAACCACAAGCCAAGTTCAACACTCAAAAACTGAAGGACCAGGACACAAAGGACATCTTCACTGCAAGCATAAAGGACAAAGCCGAGACACAAATCAACACTGGCGAAGAAATCAGCGTCGAAAAGCACTGGAACAACTTGAAGACAGTGTGGATTCAAACCTGCATGGAAGTTCTAGGCAGAAAGAAGAAACAGGACAAACAGTGGCTCACTACGGACACTTGGAGACTGACAGAAGAGAGAAGGATGGTGAAACAAAAGATTCTCCAGTGCACCGATGAGCAACAAAAACAGTATTTGAACGCAAGCTACAAGACACTGAACAAAAGAGTAAAGAAGAGTGCCAGGGAAGACAAAATAAAGTATTATGAAACCATGGCAAGTGAAGCAGAACAAGCTGCAGGCAAAGGAGACCTCGCAACACTCTACCAAACAACTAGGTACCTATCGGGCGAAAGTTTGACACAAATCAAGCCGTTGAAGGATGACAAATGAAATTCAATCACCAAAGAAGTGGAGCAAAGGAAACACTGAGCTGAACACTTCAAAAGACTCCTAAATTGACCACCACCTACAACCCGCCCAACAATACCAACAACGGAGACAGAGCTACCAGTGAACACCAACCCCTCAACGAAATCAGAAGTCCTGAAGGCAATCAAGGTGCTGAAAGCTGGAAAAGCAGCAGGACCAGATGGAATCCCAGCAGAAGCACTGAAAGTGAACCCAGAGACAACAGCAGACTTGATGACGCCACTACTGGAGAAGGTGTGGAAAGAAGGCAAAGTACCCGAGGATTGGAAGAAAGGATACTTATCCAAACTACCAAAGAGAAGAGACCTAAGTCAATGCAAGAAATGGCGCGGAATTATGCTCTTATCCATCCCAAGCAAAATACTAAGTCGCATCATCCTGGAGAGAATCAAACATGCCACCCTGGATGAAAAACTTCGACCGGAACAGGCTGGATTCAGGAGAAACAAGTCATGCATTGATCAGATCGCCACATTACGGATCATCATTGAACAAAGCCTGGAATATCAGTCACCTCTCTATCTCAACTTCATCGACTTTGAAAAGGCCTTCAGCAGACGGCGTCGATCGAGAGGTGCTTTGGCAACTACTTCGCTACTACCAAGGGGTGCCACCGACAATTATACATCTCATCCAACAGCTGTATGACAATGCTGCATACCAAGTAATCCACAACGGGAAACTTACGGAATCCTTCAAAGAAGTGAGGACAGGAGTAAGACAAGTTGGTTGCCTACTATCGCCGATGATTTTCCTGATTGCAGTAGACTGGATAATGCGACAAACAGTGGGCAATGAGGGAACAGGCATAAAATGGACTCACACAAAAACAACTTGGAGGATCTGGACTTCGCCGGTGATATATGTCTGATTTACCACAAACTGGAAGATATGCAAGCGAAAAGCATTAAGTTGGCAGAAGAAGCATCAAAGATAGGACTTCAGGTGAACATACAGAAAACAGAGGTGATGAAGATTCCTGGGTGACACCACCACCAGCAACAACAACAACAACAGACGACGATCAGCATAAATGGAAGGAACCCGAAATAAACAACCTCTTTTACCTACCAACCCGGAAGCATCGTTTCAACTACAGGCCGACGGAACTGACGAGGATATCAAAGCAGCGAGGATCGGGAAAGCAAGACAAGCTTTTACTACTCTCAAGTCTGTGTGGAGGTCAACAGAACTCAGCATCAAAAATAAGATCCGGATTTTCAACTCCAATGTGAAGTCAGTGCTACTCACTATACGGATCAGAAACTTGCACTGCGCGTCATAAAGAGCATCTCAAACAAACTACAGACCTTCATTAACAGCAAGTTGTCTTCGCTCAATACTACTCAAGATCAGATGGCCGGCCAGAAAAGATCAGCAACAGGGATCTCTGGGAGCGAACGGACTGTGAAACAAATAGGCGGGAATAAATGGAGATGGATTGGCCATACTTTGAGGAAATCACCAAGTGACATTACTAGACAAGCCCTGGAGTGTAACCCGAAAGGGAAGCGGCGAGTTGGTCGTCAGTGCAAGGGTGACTTGCAGGAGGTCATGTGAAGAGGATATGAAAGCATGTGGGCAGACTTGGAGCCAGGTGAAGACTCCAGCAGAGAACCGAACGCACGGCTGAAGCCCTATTTTCCTGTAGGAATTAAAGAAAACAATAATAATAATGTGCAAAATATTTCGCCCTTTTGTTTTCTCGATGCCTTTCATTTTCTCTACTTTCACAGTATTGCATAAAAAGGATTTGCAATTACAATGGAAGTCAGTGAAAAGAGTGCAGATAAATCATAAATTACTTTACTGTGCCAAAATCTGAGTAAGAGCGCTGACTGATTTTTGTTTAGTACAAATGACTGACATACTTATCGAAAGTTTACATTATTATTATTATCTATTTCATTCTTTTGCATCCCCAGTGGAAATTAGAGTTTCATATTTGAGCTTTAAAGTTTGAGTGGCCTTACTCTCAATCCCCCCGCCTCCTTACTAGGCTTCCTACTGGCTAGGAGAGGTAAAAGAGTGCATCGGCCACGGACTGAATCCCGGACCATGTGCGTGGTATGAGGGTATTCAGCCAGTGAACTACCGTAGAGCAAAATTTTTCTATATGAATAATGACAGGGAAAGACATGACTAAGAAACCATGTAAGTGCAAGACTTGGCAGTACCCGATTCTATATTAATTTGTTCCTTGAAATATTACAAAGTGTACTCATCACTTCACAAATGATATTTATTGAGTCTCAAACACATACCTGCACGTTTTTAATTCTGTCTTTAATAATTTTAATGTGACACACAACGTTCAAGCAAGAAGGAGTCATTCAAGTAAAAACTCCCGATAGAGGTTTCATATTCAATGGAGTTTAAAACGTCTCTATGATCTTGATAAAATTTATTTTCGCATGATTAGAACCTGTATTATTCAGTTGGAAAGTGAGAAAATTTATAATTCAGCTGCTAAGGCTTACACCAGCTTCTCGCATTGAAAGCTCTTGTGTGCAAGTGACAATGCTCACATTTTAATAGTTTCTGTCGAAATAGCCCAAAAACGAACACTGGTTAAAAGCCAGGAGAATATGTTCTACACAAAAACTAGAGGAAGAATTTCTGAATTTCTAGAGTATTTTGAAAAACTACGGCTACACACAGAAATTCACTAATAAGTAATGCAGATGTTAAGATTTAAGTATCAAACAAACGACAATGGCAAAGAAGCCTATCTTCATATCACTCGATTTCAAAGATGATAGTACTGCAAGAATAGTCAACAGAAGATTTATTATCTCACCAGCCAGAAACTATCCTGCAGCTAAGTTGGTTCCTATTTATTAGACAGCATGCTTTGTGGTGCAATCAAAGGTCTAACAGTGTTAACAAATTAACATATGTATCTTCTCTACAACTTGCATTGGCGGAACAGAACGGAAGGCACACCTTGAATATTCTGAACATTTACCAGATAGCCTATACCTCAAGGAGTTAAACACTTACATGAGGCAGATGTAATGAAATTCTTTAAAGTTGTAAATAAACAGAATAGTTGACTTCTCTTTAAATTTGCTGAAGCAATCGTCATAAAACACGCAAAATCCGATTCATGTGTCCAGAAAGAATTGGAAGTAATCAGTCTTCCCTTGCCTAGATAACTGGACACCTTTACCATCTCTTCTATTCGATTATGTAAGCTTTGTCTCTAACCACTCCATCTTCGTTACAGCGTCTCTTACTTCTATGATTTGAGCTGGACTCGCCACATTGCCACTTAGTTTATTAATAGTTACTCGTCATTTTATTGGCCTCTTATATTTATGACGTAACTGTTTTTTCATTGTATCCACACATTTATTATTTTTTTGTTGTTCTTTAAACTTAAACTTTCTGGGTAAAGGCCATATGAGTTTAACTTCTGAGCAGTGTTAGGATTGTTTTGCATATGAATTTAATAATTTCTTAGGGTTGAACGCAGCTGATGAGAAGCCAGCGGATTAAATAATGGTGCCAATTTTAGCTATGTAATTAGTAACATTATTTTTTTTTCTTCAGCATTAGTTCGCATCAGGACACTAGACAGAACTACCAATATATATGTGGTTAGGATTTGTAAAGTTTGAATGTGTAATAATGCACACGTACTTACCCTGCTCACATCACTTTCAAGCACTGCACGAACAAAGATAGCATCATATTTCTCAGTTAAAAGCTCAGGGATTTTATTATTATAGGTTGTTAATTTAATTTGATTCCCCAATGATAAGCCACGTGTATAAGCTCTACTGTTGTCTAACCAGCTTTTGATATGCGATGAAACCCATGAAAATAAGTCACTATTAGGTTGAGCGGATACAGTGACACCTTGTGTACCTGTCTTTAATAGAATAAAACAAAAATAGTATAAAACACGGTAGACTAGTTTGAGATATACTCAGTAATCAGCATCATTGTAATGGTCGTCTGTGTGGAAATTTATGTTTGTGTACTAAAGATACAAATAAAACTTCACGTTTACATATCATATACTTCAGGTATTTATGCGACTTAGATTTATAGTTCTATGTACACACTCTCGTCTCATAATAACTTTCAATAATGCATAGTTAGAATAGTCAGAACCGAAATCCTCCTGACTATGGAGAATACGGTTGTTGGATAGAATCTATCACACCCAGTACTCAGTTGTGAAGTTTCTTTAGAGTAAAACAGTTAGTGGCTGATCAAACACGTTTATTGGCAGAAAAATCTAGTTCGCCATTTCGAATTTATTCCTCTGTGATGTTGAAGACATAAACTTTACCTTACTATGAGTTCCGTTCACAGTTAATCATTGATATTTACTTTTCCGTGTTCATTGCGGTTTAAAAAGAATCTTAACGCCACTGTATTTGTCACACTTATTCTGCGCTCAATAGCCACCGTGTGAGTAGGATTTTGTATTTTGCACTTAAGACTGGCAGTTTGTATAGGGTTGGATAGTTTTGCAGGGCTGAATGTTTTTAGATGAGTTATTATCGAACGTTCGATTTTAAATTTAGTGAAACTGTCACCTCTGAATTCGCGTTACGGAAAGACAAACTGCACTTTGTTTTAGACCTTTTTCATTCATTCACTTCACTTCTCTTAATAATTATGTGACTTCCCTTTCCTTAGATGAAGGAAAATCTCCCTGATTCACTTCGAAATCCCAACCAACGTTGAATAGCCTACTGTATACTGTTCTAGCGTAGTGATATTGACATGGAAACAATTGAAAGGAAGCAAAATTATTAACTTGGTTCACTTAAATCAAAATTCATTTGCGTATAACACTGACTATGCAAATATGTATTTATCCACCAATATAGCCACCCAAATAATCAGAGTCTTAAAAATACACTTTCTCGTTTAATTCATACCGTTAGTTATCTGTTAAAACTTTCAAATAAAATAAACCTTTCATGTATACGATAGACAAGACCCACTGAACAAAATACATAGTGTGTCTCGCTGAAAATACAAGATAAATAAGTAAACCTGTGATCAAAGCTGTGGCAAAACCTCGACTGCCAGTAAAACGTGTTACATAGCAAGTATTCAGTATTCATCAGTAGCAGCACATGTCTCAACGTCATCAGCCAATGCAGTTTCGCACACCGAACTATGATTACTATTTCGTCTATTGATCATATGGCAATCTTTCTCAGATAGGTCAGGCATTTCTAAGAGATCGCATTAAAATAACTAAAACAAACCTATTCGTTTGACTGTTAGTAGTGAAAATTTCAGCCAGCTAACTTGTCAGCCTATGATGTTGGATGCTTAATGCTTCGGAGGAGTGTGAATGAAAATATTTGGCAGTGAATAGTGCTATTAGCAGTACTAGATTTGGGATATGACCAGGGGCTTGAAACGATTTCCCGAACTGAAAATACGATATACTAAAAACCGAAATACAACACTTTAGTTTAGCTGACTTACCATGAGAGCAGTACAAGCCGTCATGTATCCGATGCCTAGCTCGACAACTAAAGCATGTGAACGCTCCTTGATACCAGTGCTTAGTGCATCCAGAATCAGTGCGTGCTGAATCATTGAAAACAAAATGATAGTTATTTTCCAGTTGTCAAAATTTAGCTTCACAAAAAAATTAAGCTCCATGATGGTGTGAAAGAACAAAAAAGAGCTATGACACCGCCAATTCGGTCGTCATTATTTACAAAAATCAGGTTAAGCAAGAGTGAGGAGGATTACCAGCACTTCAGTAGCAGCTACTTTACACCATGCAAGAATTGTGCTAAGTTTGTACAAGTTTGAGAAAACTCACTCCCTATCAATCATGTTTTAATGTTGGATAATAAAAACTGTATAAATCCCTTTAGTCTAGCAGCTATATTATCTACATTTTAGTTCTTATAACTGCTATGTCAGGGATAAAAATACATTTTTACAGAATTTGAATTTATCTACGTAGTTCAGTGCTGGATTGATAACCGCACTACTCGCTTTGTAATCGTTCGAGTAAAAACTATCATTGTTATTCAGCACTAAGATTATATTTCACAGTTAGCAACATTGCTTATGAACATACAATGACTTAACATGAAGAACAGCGAATTTTGAGATTATTAGACATTCATCTTATTGTACTATAGTTTCGCGAAATAGGTAGTATGCAAAACAATGAATGATAAACATTGTCTAATTGTCGGCTGTAAATTTAGAAGACTAGAAGTCATTTAAACATTCCTCAAATCTGACGTTTCACCATTCTAAATTTATAAAATCCAGAAGTAAGTTGGCTCCTATTAACATTTCCGTATACCTACATTTTTACAAAAGTATCTACCTCGAAGGACTGAATATTCAATAAAGTAGATGCATTATGGAAACAAACATTTGAACATTTATGCAGGTCAGGAAGTCATTATCATTCAAGATTAATAGAAATGAAGATGTTGGACAAGTGAACAGAAATTTAATGATTATAAAGTGTGGTCATAACCAAGTGTCATTAGTGTGCACAGGTTATTTGGGTAGAACCTACTGTTATGTGACATCACAGTGTTTACCATTATACGTTTGTACTGGTGTCATTATATACTCTGGATGCCAAAGACATTTACTACCCAATGTGACTCAGTAATTGTGGAAAGAACTGGGTAAGGATTAGAACACAGAAATTCCCTCACATAGAAGTACCAATCTGTAGTAATTTATATAGATCTGACTTGAATCTGACTAATTATTATATAGTCAGTATAACATATATAGTTAAAAGAGGGATGATGCCTAATACTCTTTGCCTAGGTTTATCATCACATCACTTGCTTTTACGGGAAAACCGTTTTTCTAACTTGTAGGCCTTAAATATTTATTCTGTCAAAATTAAATCAGTTGACATGAAGAGCTAGTTTGCAGACATCCAATTATTAAACACAATGGGAACTTATGGTCAGTTTTTATGGATTTCTTTGCTTTTAATGAAAAACTGCAAGTTGCAATTTGATCAGCATGAAAAGGAGACCTGTAAATGAAACTGTATGTGATGTTGTTTGTGGTAGATGATGCAGTGGTTCTGAAACTACTGTATAAGTTGAAGCCAGGTAAATCACCTGGACCAGACGGACTTCACCCTAGATTGCTAATCTCTTTGGCGGATATAATATACATTCCACTTACGGAGATTTTCCAAATGTCTCTGTCCCAGGCTAGGCTGCCCAGAAACTGGAAAGATGCTTTTATAAGCCCCATCTTCAAAGATGTGAACAGGCAGTTAGTATCTAACTACCGGCTTATAAGTCTGACCTGCATTATAGCAAAGGTGTTAGAAAAACTCATAAGGGACCAGCTCTTAGCTCATTTGGAAAAACATGACTTACTGGCAGTGGAACAGCATGGATTTCGACCAGGACGATCCTGCTTGACAAACTTACTGTTAGGTTGGGAAGATTGGATCGAGGCCAGGGATAAAAACCATCCACTGGACGTTGTATTTATTGATCTTAGTAAAGCATTCGATAAGGTATCCCATCTTGGTCTTCTTAGTAAACTTAAACATTTTGGATTAGACCAACGCTTATGTGAATGGTTTAGTGACTACTTGATGGATAGGAGGTAGAAGGTAAGGGTTAATGGTGTACTGTCAGGGTGGAAAGCAGTACTAAGTGGAGTACCTCAAGGAACTTTACGTGGTCCCCTGCTATTCCTATTATACGTAAATGAAGTGCCGAAAATTCTTACCTCATCTTCCTTTCTATTTGCGGACGATATTAAGATATGGAAAACCGTAAATAGTAACGATGATAGGTTGGTACTACAAAATGATCTAGACAAATTAACCGAATGGGCTAACCTTTGGAGTCTAGAAATTAATTCCAAGAAAAGCGCGGTAATGCACCTAGGTCAGAAGTCTTACGCGTCGTACTCCATGAAGGACACAGAACTGCCAGATGTTAGGAAACAAAAGGACTTAGGAATTATTGTTAGCCATGACTTAAAAACAACGGCAAACTGTAATCGAGCAGCAGCTAAGGCTTTTCGAATACTATGAACACTTCGAAGGACTTTCAAACGATTAGACGAAGGCATGTTCCAAGTACTCTATGCAACATATGTCAGGCCTCATCTAGAGTACTGCATACAAGCGGCGGGTTCATGTTTCAAAAAGGAGGCACATATCCTGGAAAGAGTACATGGAGTAGGGAGGAAATTAGTTAGTGGTATCTCACACCTTCCTTATGACATGAGGATGGAGCATTTAAATCTCTCCCCATTATCATACCGAAGGAGGAGAGACGACTTAATTTTGGTCTTACCGTATAATTAATGGTGATTTATGGATTGACCTTTCTAACCTTTTCTCTCCCTCTAGGATACATCAAGGGGGTCACCAGAAGAAGGTGTTCAAACCGAGGTCGAATAAAATACGTTTGGAGTTTATATTCTCTCACAGAGTGGTCAACGACTAGAACTGCTTACCTGATTCAGTATTAACGGCTCCATCGGTGGACGCTTCCAAAGAGAAACTGGATCTCTGCAGAGATACATATCGCGATGATTAACATGGGCGAAACAGCGTTCTATCCTTATAATCTGAATCTGCTATTAATTTAGTACTAGTGTCTGGGGATGATTTACGACTAGAAATTAACTTTGAACTATTTACGCAGAGAAATATCTCTCTCTGTACTTTAGTATATAGCATTTCATTTCAAATAAACATGAGGAAAGACTTAATCACTTTGAAACTACAGGGGCTAGAATAACAAGCTAGACAAAATTTCAATTATTTACTAGTTTATTTGAAACTATTTATTGTCAGCTGAAAAGACCAAAGATGTTGACTACTTGCAAATATATTAAAGTATAGTGAGACCCTGAAATTTAAACATGGGACAGCAGTTTAAACGATTCAACAAATGCTACAGTGGAAATAAAACTCTCAACATCTTAAATTGTGGTAGGGCTAAATAAAAATTCCGATCAATCGAAAAAGATGGATTTTGTGAATGACCTCCAATACCCAGTAATAAAGAATAATAGATTCAAAAACTACACGTTTTCTCTCTAAAAATCTATTGAACTCACCACATAAGGAGCAGGGAACATAACTTTAACAGGATGATGGCGACCGACTTCAACTAATTGTGACCGATTTTCGTATGGCTCATCATCTACGAAACAACTACGATCCACACCTCTCATAGATTTTTCAGCTGCTGCTGTCTTTAGAAACCCATTTTCTGCGTTGAAAACAGAAGATAATTGTAAGTGCTAATTACTCTTTAACGCTTCTATCATAGCTGAATGTTTTTTTTCATCTGGTTTGCAGGCAGTTACATAGCTACAAAAATGCAAAATGATGATTATTGCCGAAAAGATTTTGTAATTTCTAGCTAGATCCATATCTGATTCGTGCAACCAACACGAAAACGCAAATAACAATATCAAAATAGCGCCTTCAGATGTTCAATGTCCAATATCCTGATTACGAGCTAGTATAAACCAGTGATTTCTTTGAGCTCGCTTCTTGATTGTAAGGTAGAGGTTCCAGATCTTCGGTGAACTTATGCGTAGTAAATCCCACCACTCGACTGCTTTAGCTCTGGTAGACTCCAAGAGGAGTGGTGCGAGGATTGGTCAAGATGTGGTTTGTAATGTGCAGTATGTTAGTACTCAATTGCTGCCGTGAATGGAGTTTGACCTAACTCCCGTTGGTCATTCGATGTAGTCATAAAAGCAGAATAGTAATGATAATAATAGGTTGTAGTGTAGATAATATAGGTTGAGATAAGTGAAATAATAAAGAAAGAAAAGATAGAGTCGTCGGTACAGTGGGAGAAGACAGGACGGGTCGTGGAGATTTAGCTTGTATGCTTATCCATTGACAATGTGGTTTCAAATTTTAAGAGGATAAGCCATCGAGACACAAACCATGCATTTCTGCATGATTGTCCAGCTTCCGCTTAAAAGTCTCCACAGATGGAGCTGTAGTTACGGCCGCTGGTAAAGCGTTCCAGAGACGGCAAACTCGAAGCGAGAAGAAATGTGAACGCACTCGAGTCTTCGGTCTCTGGTATGCTATCCTTAGCGGATTACCTCGTGGAAGCCTATAATCACTTAATGGCAGGATGCTTTTATTGGGGTAGGCCTGGTCATTTAAGACCTTGTAGACGGTAATGAGGTCTCCCCTGTGACTACGGTAACCAAGTGCGAAAAGACTAAATTTCTCTAGTCTTTCCTCATATGATTTGTTGCGGAGGCCGATCACCCATTTTGTCGCTCGTCCCTGGACACTTTCTAGAATGTTAGCATCTTTTTTGAGTAGCGGAGGAGCAATGATATTATGCACCTCAAGGAGTGGCCTCACGTATGCCGTATACAACCTTAAGAATAGTTCAGGAGTAAGAGCTCCCAGCTGCCTATGCATAAAGTGTAAAGTAGCGTTAGCTTTGGCGACTTCCCTCGTGTAATTTACACTGGTGTCTAGCTTTTCTGTTAAAATAAGACCTAGGTCGCGTTCTGATGGCACACAACTCAAGTTCTGGCCACCAAGGGTGTAATTTACACTCTGTGATCTGCCGGAATGAAGTTGAACTACTTTGCACTTCTTTAGGTTGAAAGGCATTCCGTTAGCCAGAGCCCAGTCTCCCAGAGTTTGCAGGTCAGCCTGCAATCTGTCGGAGTCTTCCGATGTGTTTATTGCTCTCCAAATCTTTACGTCGTCAGCGCAAAGAAGCTCAGAGCAGTTCAGTTGACATGGCAGGTCGTTGATAAAAATCAAAAACATTAACGGCACTGAGATAGAACCTTGAGGAACGCCTGATGCCGAGGTTTGCCAGGATGATCGGATGAGGTTGACTTTGGTGCAGAATTCTCTGTCGTCTAAGTAATCTTTCAGCCATGCGAGAAATGCTCCAGAAACATCCGCCTTGCTTATTTTGTGAAGGAGCAAACCATGGTGAACTGTGTCGAATGCTTTCGCAAAGTTGAGAAAAATCACATGGACTGGTACCTTTACATCCCAGGATAGTGTCCAATAGTTCCAAGCTAGTAGAAGATTCGTCAAACAGGATCTTCTCCTCCTGAAATCGTGTTGTGCTTCATGGAGTAAGTTAGTCCCGTCGAAGTATTTTCTAATGTGGTCGTCAATGAGACTTTCCAATATCTTCGATATCACTGGGAGTAGCGCAACTGGTCTGTAACTGGTCGCGTTCTGCCGGTCACCACCCTTGAAGATAGGGGATAGGATGGCTCGTTTTCATTCACATGAAAGTTTCCTTACATCAAAGGGGTGTTGAAACAGATCACTAAGGAGTTGGCAGAGTCTTTCTGAACACTGCTTCAGGATGGATGGTCTAAAGGCATCGCAACCTGCAGACTTTCTCGAAGCCAACTTTCCCAATTTTACGAGTACCATAGCCGGGGTAATTTGAAATGTACCCAGCAGGTTTTCGCACGTTGGTCTTGCATTGTAATCTTAATGTTTTGCGGGGGTAAAATCGTCGTCACAAGAGGTGCAACGTTAACTGTGTGTGAGAAGCAACCAATCAACTGACTGTATTTTCTACTAACATTAACCTACAATAATGTACATCAAAATCTTTAAATACGTGTTGATTTTCCGTAATAAACGTTCTGCTGCCTGGCCCTTGTCTTCTGTTGGTACACCATAGCCGATGTAATTTGAAATGTACCCAGCAAGTTTTCGCACGTTGGTTTTGCATTGTAATATTGATGTTTTGTGGGGGTAAAATCCTCGTTACTGTTCAGTTGTCTGTGAAAGGCTAGACTGAATGTCTCTGCCATTTCAAGACTAGTAAGAGATTTCCCATCAGAACCCACTAGATTGCAAGCTCCCTGGTTGGTCGGTCTTCTTTCAGACATAAACCTGTATGGGCTTTTGGGATTCACGAGAAGTTTATTGGTGAGGTTTCTCTGAAATGTCCTTCTATCACTCCGGACTCGTATGTTACATCGATTCCTGAGTTCAAGGTACACTTCATGTTCGGGTTGACTCTTCGATACTCTCCACGCAAACCAGGCTTTTCGCTTCGCCTGCAGAAGGCGTTGTTTCTCCCTTTTTAGCCACGAATGTTGCTTCCTAGCTTTTGGTGTGACTAAAGGAACAGTGTCTGAGACCGCCTGGTGAATGATCTCCCTTACCACTCCCCAGTGTTCTTCAACTGTTAGCTCTGTCCAGTTTTTAGGCCAATTTGCTTCAGACAAAAGTCTTCCCATTTCGGTGTAACTGGCTTTGTTATAACACAGATAGGGCTGTGTATTGTCTCACTGTAAACGCTCGCGGAGGACTATGTCGAATACTATGACCGCGTGGTCACTACTACCTATGAGAGTCGTGATCTGAATGTTTTCCACTGGTAGCCGGTCACTAGTGAGCGCATAATCCAGTCTAGAAGACTTCCCATCTGGGCCCCATCTAGTATCCATTCTGACATTTTCAGTGAATCCAGCCTCCCTGATGGTATGCAACAGATAGCGATCAAATCTATCGTGGGCATATCCCGTCATCAAGTTAAGAGATGGGGCACTGAAGTCGCCAGCTATGACAATTTGATCATAACCCATGTCTTGTGTCACTGAAATTGTATTCAGCAGTACCTGGTTGTAGTCTGCTCCACATGAAGGTGATCTGTAAATGCTGCCCACTAGATATTTACAGTACCCAACGGTGAAATGGCACCATATGAAGTCAGGGAGCTCAATGAGGGGAGGGTCCATTGCGTAAACACATCTGAGCTGTTTGACGACGTATATGGCAACTCCAACGAGCTCGTGTGAACACAGTGAATACTTGGAGCCTACTCCTTTTTGTGTACGAAGAGCCGTAGGACTTTCACGGATATCAGAACAACCTTTTTCATCGTATGATGAAGCTTTCTGAAACAGAACAACAGAGGTCAGGTAAGCTTACGTTATTTCGGGGAATGCATTATTTGAACAATGACGGTGGCATTGCTGGTATTTGGAAATTTTCAGTTCGTTGGGCAGCCGCCTCGACAGATCAACAATCTATTGAGGAGAAGATCCAGAGAATAACTTGATTAAACATATCAAAATTACGGTAAGACGTTTGTGTGTAATTCAAAGTGTTACAGCAGGGCTTATGCATATATAACAAAAGCAAAAGTAAAGGAGGGAAGGAGACCAGCGGCGATACAGGAAACATTAAAAGTTGTGGCAGAATAGTAGTATGGGTAAAGGTAGATTAAGACAAGTGAGATATTTGAATTACCAGTGTAGTCTTTTGAGTGATGATCTAGGATTCTCCTGAAGGTATCAACTGACGGTGGATTGAAAACGTCAGGCACATTTAAGTTTAAGAAGTGAACGATTTCACAACATGCTTTACAGTTCTTCACTGTCAATACAAAAATCAATCACTCTTTTCAATTTTTAACGAATTCTGACCTACAAAGCTATTCTATGATGTGAAAAAGAGAAAGTGAAACTAGGTGTGGGAGCCTTGTGCCCAGTATGAGGATGGCTAAAAAAACCTTATTTCTTCTAAACGTTTGATAACTGCATCTATGTACCAACCTCTTCGCTGAAATCCTGGATCATAAACTTTGTAATTTAATGTGAATGTGGGCTTTAATCATGAACTTTTATAATCACGGACGTCAAAATGTGATGAATTAACTCTAGCTAACCTTCCAGTAGCCAACTGCAACCTATTAAGTTCTGGAGGATTATATGATAACGTATTATTCACACGCCATTAGCTTTGATGTACACAATGGGACATATAAACATGCTTTATGCATCCAGAGGTGTAGGAATGGAGTCAAATATTGTAGTAAAACTCTTTGTCATCAATAATATTTGTTTATTTTTACCATAGTACACCGCTTTGTATGCTCCCTGTAAATTATTATGTGTCTCCCAAGATACTGACTTTCTCCACATCCCTTTTCAACATTCCCCGAGCAGTTTTCACCAACACCCGCAATCTCTACTAGACAGCACCTGGTGCACTACTGGATACTACAGGTAAAGTCATATACATCGACCTGTATGCTCCTACTTATATGCATCCATTTGTGTTGCTGTTGTAAAGAGGTGGCATATTCCTTGAACTAGCGTTTTTAAAACTGATCAGCTAAATAATACTAACATTAATAATATACATTTCGTATAAACGGCTGTTTACAACAAGTGCATCCCATTTTGACAGGCACGATCACTAATCTTTTAAACTGCAATCGTGAAATATCATAAACTAGTACCTTCTGAAAACCTAAATTGTTCGATAATGGTACAAGCACTCGGAATAGTACATATAAGTGTTCATTTGAAAACACTGCACCACCAAAGTTGAGC